AAATAATAAAATATTTATTTTAAAAATTTTAAAATAATTGCTATCTCTTAAAATACCTAAAAAGTATTATTAAACAAAAAATATGATTCTATATAAATTAATAAAATATTAACATAAAAATAATTTCAAGGAAAATATAAAAGAATTGATATTTTAAAATGAAAGAATACAAAAATATTGATGTAAACATGTGAGATCTAGAAATAATAAAATTTATTTCAATTGACATAAAATTTGTGAGAAATATTGTAAATTTTAAAAAATAAGTTATGAAAATTTTAAAAGTAATAAAAGGTAAGAATAAGGCTTTGACTTGACATAGAAGATGAAAAGGGATAAGGATAAAACTTTTTAATTTAATAGTTAAATTACAAAATAAAAAAGTGGTTACAAATTTTAATTATTGAATTAATAAGTTTTCCATTATTGATCTTTTCCATCTTTAGTTTTAACCAAGCAAAATTTAAGTGTTGGAAAATATTATTTTAACATAAATAACTATGTTAGTAATGTAAAATTTAAATTAATTATTTTTCTAATTAATAGATATATAACATCGATGACTAAATAAATACTTTCAAGGCTAAAATGATAACATAAAAAGTTAATATTTTAAAATATATTTTAAAAATTATTAATGTAAATAGTTGAGAAGAATAATAAAATTTATATCAGTGAGTTTAAAATAAGTTAAAAGTAATGTAATATCTTAAGATAAAATTATAAAAATTTTAAATATAATAAAAGGTAAGAATAAATGTAAAAAGATATTTTTTAACATAAATGATTAAGTTGTTATGTAAAATATAAATTAATTATTATTCATGTAAATAATTTTAGGCCAATGACTAAATAATACTTAAAGTAAAAAAAGACGGTGTTAAAAAATTAGTGTTTGAAAATTAAAAAAAAAAACTATTAATGTAAACAAGTGTGAGAAATTATAAAATTAGTATAATTTATTGTAAAATGGGTTAGAAGTGTTATAACATCAAAAGACAAAGTTATAAAAATTTTAACATAAATAATTAAGAAAAAAAGTATAAGAAGATATTAATTTAACATAAATAATAAAGAATAAGTATTAAAATTTAAAATTAATTATTGTTCTCGTAAATATTTTAGGCCATCACTAAAAAATATTTTAAAGACTAAAAAAATAAAAGACAATGTTAAAAATTAATATTTGAAAATAAATAATCTTTAAAAAAATATATATTAACACAACATGTGAGAGAAATAATAAAATGCCTATCATTTGTAGTAAAATGAGTTAAAATCATTGTAACACCCTAATAAAGAATTATGAAAATTTTAAGTATAATGGAAGGTAAAAGTAAGCGTAAGAAAATATTATTTTGACATAAATAATTCAGTTGGCATTGTAAAATTTAAATTAATTTTTTCCTATAAATATTTTTAGGTCATGGCTAAAAAAATATTTTAAAGGCTAAAAAAGAAAAAATAACTTTAAAAATTAATATCTAAAAATAAAAAATTTCAAAAAAATTATTAGCATGAATAGGTGAGAAGAACAATTAAATTTGCTTCATTTGGCATAAAATATGTTAGAAATGTTGTAACATACTAAGAAAGAGGTATAAAAATTTTAAATGTAATAGAAGTCAAGAATAAATGCTAAAAGGGGAGAGCAATATTAAATTCATATCAATTAATGTAAAATAAGTTATAAATATTGTGTAAAACTAAGAAAAATTATGAAAATTTTAGATGTAAAGCTAAGAATAAAAGTAAATAGGTGAGATTAACAATAAAATTTGTATCAAATTGTCTAAAATGGATTAGAAGTATCTTAATGCTATAAGAAAGAGTTATGAAAATTTTAAACATAATAGAAGATAAGAATAAGTGGAAGAATATATTATTTTATAGTAAATAATTAATTATATTGACAACTTAACATTTAAATAATTATTTCTCTTATAAATATATTTATGCTAGTGGCTAAAAAATACTTTAAAGGTAGAAAAAGGAAAGTCAATTTTAAAATTTAATATTAAAAATTAAAAAATAAAAAAATTATTAATGTAAACATGTTAAAAGAATGGTAAAATTCATATAATTTGGCATAAAATGGATTGAAAATTCCTTAACATTTTAAGAAAAAAGTTATGAAAATTTTAAATGTAAAAAAAAAAGATAAAAATAAATGTAAAAAGCTAAGAGTAATAATACAATTTGGAGTAGAATAGGTTAAAAATGTTATAAAACCTTCAAAGAAGAGTTATGAAAATTCTAAATGTAATGTAAGACAAGAATAAATATAAACAGGTGAGAGCAATAATGAAATTTGTATTATTGATGTAAAATTGATTAAAAGTTTCGTATTGCTTTAAGAAAAAAGTTATTAAAATTCTAAATGCAATTGATGATAAGACCAAACTTAAGATGATATTATTTTAACATAAATAATTAAAGTTACATATGCAAAATTTAAATTAATTATTTTTGTAAATATTTTTAGACTAATGACTAAAAAATACTTTAAAGAATGACAAAGAATATACAATGTTAAAAAATTAATATTTGGAAATAAATTTTTTTTAAAAAATTATGTAAATAAACATGTGAGTAGAGTAATAAAATTCGTATCATTTGATATAAAATAGTTTAGAAATGTTGTAACACTTTAAGAAAAGTTATAAAAATTTTAAATGTAATAAAAGGTAAGAATAAGTGAAAGAAAATATTATTTTATTATAAATAATTAAGTTGATAACGTAAAATATAAATTAATTATTTTTTTCTATAAATATATGGTTAATGGCTAAACTACTTTAAAGACTAAAAAAGAAAAGACAATGTTAAAAATTAATATTTGAAAATAAAAAAAAACTTTTAAAATAATTGTTAATGTAAACATGTGAGAGAAATAATAAAATTCATATAATTTTATGTAAAATGGATAAAAAATAATGTAACATCATAAGAAAAAACTATGTAAATTTTAAACATAATGGAAGGTAAGAGTAAACATAAAAATGTGAGAGTAATAGTAAAATTTGATTCAATTAACATAAAATAGATTAGAAGTGTTGTAACACCCTATTAAAAAGTTATAAAAGTTTTAAACATTATGGAATGCAAAAATACACTTAAACAGGTGAGAGTAATAATAAAATTTGTATCAATCGGTGTATAATAAGTTAGAAGTATTGTAACACTCCAAAGATGCCAAAAAAATTATGAAAAAAGTAAGAATAAGTGTAAAAAATATTATTTTAATATAAATAATTAAGTTTTCAATGTAAAATTTAAATTAATTATTTTTTCATAAATTTTTTAGGCCAATGGCTAAAAATACTTTAAAGGCTAAAATGTTAATGTTACAAAATTAATACAAAAAATTAAAAAATTTAAAATAACATAAGTAGAAATGTCATAACATCATAATAAATATTTATAAAAATTTTAAATGTAATGAAAAGTAAAAATGAACGTAAATATTTGAGAATAATAATAAAATTCCTATCAATTAAGGTAAAAGGAGCTAGAAATATTTTTTTCAAAAAATTATTAGTGTAAATAAGTGAGAAGAATAATAAAATTCATATATGTTAGTATAAAATAATTTAGAAGTGTCATAACATTCTTAATAAGAGTTACAAAAATTTTAAATATAATAGAGGATAAAAATAAACATAAACATGTAAGAGTAATAAAATCAGTATCAATAGATATAAAATATGTTAAAAGTGTTGTAATAGATTAAGAAATGGCTTTAAAAGTTTTAAACGTAATAGGATATAAGAGTAGACATTAGATAATATTATTTTAACATAAATAATTAAGTTGGTAATGTAAAATTTAAATTAATTATTTTTCCTATAAATATTTTTAGGTTAATGGCTAAAAAATATTTTAAAGTCTAAAATGTAAAATGTTAACAATTAATATTTGAAAATAAAAATAAACTTATTTAAAAAATAATAATAACATAAACAGACGAAAGAGATAATAAAATTAATATCATTTGACATAAAATGCATTAGAAATGTCATAATGTCTTGGTAATGAGTTATGAAAATTCTAAATATAACGAAAAGTAAGAATAAAGTAGGCAACATAAAATTTAAATTAATTGTTTTCCGATAAATAAAAAGATAAAAGGTTAAAAAAATACTTTTAAGGATAAAAAAAGTAAAAGGATTGATATTTTAATGTTAAAAATATCATAAAAAGTATTAATTTAAACAGGTAAGAGGAATAATAAAGACATTAACTTAAATAATGTTGCTGTATCTTTTTTGCTTTCTTTGCTTTCAACTTTCTTTTTCATTTTTAATGATAAAAAAGTACTGTATTATTTTGTTTCATGCTATATCTATTTTGATTTGCTTTTAGCTCCAAAGAAAGAAAAAAATAATTTCATGTTCTTATAATTTTATTGTTGTTGATTTTTTTACCCTTTCTTTTTAAATTTCTATTTAGGCTGGTCCTTAATTTTCCCTTCCTGATTATCTCTGGAGTTGGTGATGTAAAACGTCCACATACCTTAATTTAGAAGATCCATTCCCAGTTAGGTAAGCTTAAATAATATAATTTTTTATTTTTCGTAATTTTTTATTTGCTCCAAAGTTCTTTACTTGTTTCTTTCCCTACCATATTTAAATAAAAACTGCATTTATACTATGCCTTTACTCTAAAATATTATGACATATTCTTAATATATACGCGCATAAACACTGAAGAATTTCTACCATCTGCAGAATTTTCAATTTCCAAGTTGATCCATCAACAATTGTTTCCGTTTGTGACTATAATCCATTAGAGCAAATCTTTGATTTTCTCAAAGAAATAGGTGAGCTTGAGGAACCTCTTCTCTTTTCATTTCTCTATTTCTTTTACTTATATTTTCCCTATCAAACAAAATAGCTAAAAGAGAAAATGGATGGAGAGTTGAGATAGGAAATTTTGTATTTGTGCGAAAAATTTATTTACAACTATCAATCATCCAATAATTGTTACGTTATAAAAAAAATAAAATATTTTATTGTAAGATTTTAATTTTGATAAATTAGTGTAAGCTGTAGAGTTTTGCAATACATCAACTAAGATAATCTAAAAAACTATTTCTTTCATTTGTTAGGATAAATCAACGGAGGAAATAAACAATATTTTGAATCATTAACTCTTTCAACGCGTAGGGCATAATTCGATACAGAATCTAATCCCACCAAAAGCAACCAAAAAAAAAAAAGTAAGAGAGAAAGTAATTGTTGAAAAATAATTGAAAGAAGACAAAAATAAAGGGGCCAATAATTCAGAAGTGCATCAATGATGCCATGTCCCACTAGCATCAATAGATCAGTTTTCTTCAAAAAAAAAAAAAAAAAACTTGTACGAGCACAAAAAGGAAAAAGTAAACGTGTGAATTGGAGGCGTTGCTCCCAACTCCCAACAAAAGGAAAAGATGCTTGGTCCTTGTCTAGTTGTCTTCCACTAAGGATTTGAACGAGTAAAATGATAATAATGATGATAAAAGAGAATCTAAAGAAATTAAACAAGTCTTTGATCAAACTTTTCTTTATAGTTTCAATCAGTCATAAAGATTTCAAGCACAACTTCTCAATATTTGTGGATACTTGAAGCTCTTTGTTCATTTGAAACAAGCTTGGTTTCTACTTAAGTTTTCTTTGGACTCAACAAAAAAAAAAATCTGTGTGGATCGAAATAAAAAGCCCGATTTTGGATCCTGAAAATTCATATTTCCTAGGTATATTTGTCTCTACAATAAAAGAAGCGAAAATAGTATAGCTGTATAATTTTTGGTTTCTTTGGTTTCTATTTTTTATTTTATTTCATGCTATATCTATTCTGATTTGCATTTTTTAACTCCAAAAAAAGAACATAAAATTCAATGTTCTTATAATCTTATTGTCACTAATCTTTATTTCCTTTTTCTTTTAATTTCTATTAAGGATGTCCTAGACTGGTTAAAAAGGGCAGAGAAAGAACTGGAAGAAACCCAGTGTCTGAAAGCTGAAATAGAACGTATGAAGTGTTTCAATTGGTGTCCAAGTTGGGGTTGGCGATATTGCTTAAGTAAGAAAGTGGCAAAGAAGACGATCTCTATCGATAAACTACTTGTGAGTTGTAACTTTCCACGGGTGGGGCTCCGTGCTCCTCTAGAAGGAATAGAATTCTTCACCTCTAAAGATTTCATGCCTAATGAGTCTTCAAATTTTACTTTCAATGAGATCATCAAGGCTCTAAACACTGATGGTGTGAACATGATTGGATTGTATGGAATGCCAGGGGTAGGCAAAACAACTTTGGCAAAAGAAGTTGGGAAGCATGCTAAAGAGCAAAATCTCTTTGACAAAGTTGTGATGGCTACAATGTCCCAAGCGCCAAACCTCAGCAAAATTCAAGATAAAATTGCAGAATTATTAGGTTTGAAATTTGAAGCAAGCACGAAAGAAGGAAAAGCAGAAGAGTTATAGCGGAGATTGCAAGGCGTGGAGAAGATCCTCATAATTATCGATGATGTTTGGAATGAATTTAAATTGCAGACTGTAGGTATTCCATTCGGAGTTGAACACGGGGGTTGCAAAGTTCTTCTGACCACACGTCTTTAACAAGTCTGTGTTCGTATGAATTGCCAACAGAAATTTAAACTTGACATCTTATCCGAGGTGAAGCATGGGCTTTGTTCAAAGATACTGCTGGTCTAAAAGATGCTTCTTTGAGATTGAATGATGTAGCCAAGGAGGTTGCTAGTGAATGCAATGCAATTGCAACAATCGGAAAAGCATTAAAAGGTGCAAGTCTAGATGGGTGGAAAGCAGCAAATAAGCGACTCAAGGACTCAAGACATTTAGACAATGAAGAGGTTTCTCAAGGTATCTACAACTGCCTTAAGCTGAGTTATGATTATTTGAAGGGAGATAATATTCGAACATGTTTCTTGCTATGTTCCCTTTTTCCAGAAGATTGGGACATTGATATTGAGTTGTTGGTTATGTTTGCAATTGGTCATGGATTATTTTCTCATATTTACTTAATTGAAGACTTGCGGAGAGAAATTCGTGAAGCACTAAGAAAACTCCAAGAGGCTGGTTTGTTATTGAGAACTGATGATGATGATGATGAAAGATAGGTAAGCATGCATGACGTGGTTCGTGATTTTGCTCATTGGATAACATCTACGGGGAAAAATATATTCATGGTAAAAGAGGGGTTGATGGAATGGCCTATAAGTGAAAGATGTGAATCCCGTACATCAATCTCCTTTTGGAACAGCAAAATAAATATTTTTCCTGAAAAGTTAGAATTTCCAGAACTCAAAATTTTGATTTTTACAAGAAAGACTTTGGTGGAAGTCGCGATTGCATTTGTTAAAGGAATGAAAGACCTCCGAGTTTTGCTTCTCCAAGATGTCATTTTCTCACTAGAAGTACTTAAATTCGTAACAAATCTTCGAACTCTGTGTCTAGTAAATTGTGAGTTGGAGAACATCTCATCGTTGGGAAATTTGAAAAACCTTGAGATTCTTGCATTTTCTGATACTAATATTTATGAGCTACCCGAAGAATTAGTGGCATTGCGTGGTCTAAAATCGCTACATTTTTTTTACTCAGGAAGCGAACAGATCAATTTTCCCCCTAATTTACTATCAAGGTAATATTAGATGTCAATTATTTTTTTAACATATCGCACAAAATTAAGTATTTAGTTTTATGTTATTTATTTTTCTTTTATTTATTAAACTATGGGATACATATCTAACATAAGCTTTCGGTCACTCCCATTATTATGAACCATTCGAAGTTGTAGCCCTTTTTTTAAGAAAAGGTGCTGAAGAATCAGGCTATATTTGCTGAGATAATTAAAATTAATTTGTGTTTACTTCTATTTTTATGAATCGCTTGAAGTGTTTGATAATAGTTTTTGTATTTGTGTGTAACAAACAGGTTGACATCACTCCAACAGCTACACGTGACTTGTGAAAACAATGTTAATTTATCAGAGCTGAATTCATTGTCTCGATTGACTGCGCTATCACTGAGAGTTTCTACTGCTCAATGTTTTACAGAAAAGTTTGTGTTCCCTAAATTACAAAGCTACATTATAGCTATAAATGAAGATCTTCAATTTATACCGGAGCTAAAATTGAGAACCTTGAACATCGGACGTTTCTCATTTCATTTAGTGCATTGAAGGAGTTGTTTTGCAACGTGGAAAAGTTGAATCTGGAGGATGTCAAGGGACACAAAAATATTGTCCCAAACGTAGATCCAAAGGGCCTAAATGAATTAACTTCCCTTGAGCTTGGAGATTGCGATGATATGGAATGCTTGATGGATACAACAGGAGAGAAAGAAAGAACCACTGCATTCTCTAATTTGGTGAAATTAAGAATGGAGGACATGACTTGTTTGAAAGGATTGTTAAGAAAATGGGGTCCAGTCCCATGTAAGTGGTTTTGGACCAAGTAAAGGCCATGGGCCTTGATCTTTTATTTTACACAGAGCCCTAGCTACTTAATAAAAAAGAGGTGGGGTTGTTTTAGGTGTGTGTCGAAAACCAAACAGAGAAAGAAGAAAAGCCAGGAAAAGCAGAGAGAGAAAAAGGAGAAGGGAGAGTTGGTTGAACGGAAGTCGATCCATGGTCCGATTGAGTTAGAACCTTGTCAGGAGGTTTATGATTCAGAGTTCTACATTCTGAACGGTGAAGATCGGGTTTGAAGCTCTCTAGGAACAAATCCAGGGTGTATTTGTTGAGTCACTTATTTGGTGAGATTTCTCCAATTGTTTCTCTAGTTGTTGATTAGCTCTAGTTTTAGCTAGAGAAGAACTTTGTATAACTATTATTTGATAGTGAAGATTTTTCTGGTGGCCCGTGGTTTTTTCCCTCTACATTGGAGGGTTTTTCATGTAAATCTTGGTGTGCTTTATTTTTCCTGCGTATTTGATTATTGATTGTTGTCTATTACTTTTGTATTGTTGTGATTATTGCTTCAGGCGCAACAAGTGGTATCAGAGCGAGGGTTATTTTGAAACATCGATACAGAAGCAACCCAGGATAGAAGTAAATTCTGTTTGAGATCATGGAGGGTGATACAGGTTCCATGATAAAATTGACAGCATCGAATTATTTAATTTGGAAGCCTATGATAGAGGATCATCTATACTGCAAAGATTTGTATGAGCCAGTATTGGGTGATTCGACTAAACCAGCAGATATGAAAGATGAAAGCTGGAAGAAGCTAGGTAGAAAGACGTTGGCTACAATCAAAAAATGGGTTGATATCAGCGTGTTCCATCATGTAGCACAGGAATTAGATGCTCACATTGTTTGAAAAAAATTGGCAGCATTGTACGAGAGAAAAACAGGTATGAATAAAGTTATGCTTGTTAAAAAGATTACAACTTTACAGTACAGGGATGGACGATCTGTTACAGAGCACTTGAGTGATTTTCAAGATATATTTAATCGGATGACTACTATGAAGCTTAAGATGGATGATGAAATGAAGGCGTTATTTCTTTTGGGTTCATTGCCAGACAGCTGGAATACTCTAGTTGTGAATGTTCTTAATTCAGCTCCTGATTATAAGGTGACATTGGAGATGGTAAAGGGCAGTATGCTTAATGAAAAAGCAAGGCGAAAAGATGTAGACCCTGGGAATCAAGCTCTAGTCACAGAGAATAGGGGTAGAAACATCGACAGAGGTCAGGACTCAAAAGGTCGTGGTAAGTCTAAACATAGATCCAAGTCTAGAGGTAAAGTGAAGTGTTTCCATTGTGATAAGACGGGTCATATAAAACAAAACTGTAGAATCTTAAAGCAAGAGTGAAAAGATGAGAAAGACAAGAGTTCAAATGATGGCAATGTTGCAGCAGTGAATTCAGATAGTGATTCAGTTACTTTGATTTGTACACATGGTGATTGTAATCATGTTAGTGATCCCAACATTGAGTGGATAGTTGACACAGGAGCGGCATATCATTGTGTTCCTAAGAGAGAGTTGTTTACAACTTACAAAGCATGAGACTTTGGTTGTACCAAGATGGGAAACAAGAGTGTGTCGCAGATTGTTGGGATTGGTGATATTGTTGTACAAACTAGTATAGGCTGCATGTTGACTTTGAGGGATGTCAGACACATTCTAGATATGAGAATGAACTTGCTTGCTATTAATGTCCTTGATAAAGAGGGATATGAAAACCGACAAAAGAATGGACAGTGGAAGCTTCTCAAAGGATCTATGGTAGTTGCAAGGGGAAAACTATGCTGCACAATGTATAAGACATGGATGCAATTGAACGGTAACCAGGTAAATACCGTTGAAAATGATGCTTCAGCAAACTTGTGGCACAGGAGGCTGGCACACATGAGTGAAAAAGGGTTACAGGTTTTGGCAAGGCACTCTCTCATTCCCTTGACCAAAGTTATGTCTCTCGATTCATGTGATTATTATTTGTTTGGTAAGCATCATAGAGTTTCTTTTCGTAAAAGTTCTCAGAGAAAAGAAAATAGATTGGAATTAATTTATTCTGACGTATGTGGTCCCATTGAGGTTGAGTCATTAAGTGGTAGCAGATATTTTGTTACTTTTATTGATGATGCTTCACGTAAGACTTAGGTGTATATGTTGAAATACAAAAGTCAGGTACTACAGTATTTTTAAAAATTTCATGCCATGGTTGAAAGGATGACAGAGTTATCCTTGAAGTGTATTCGAACTGATAATGGTGGGGAATACACATCTAAAGGCTTTGAAGAGTATTGCTCAAAGTATGGGATCAGGCATGAGAGGACAGAATCTGGAACACCGCAGCATAATGGTATAGCTGAAAGAATGAATCACACCATTGTGGAAAAAGTCAGATGTATATTGAGGATGGCAAAATTACCAAAGCCATTCTGGGGTGAAGCAGTCAACACAGCTTGTTATTTACTTAACAGGTCACCATTAGTTCCTTTGGGCTTTGACATTCCAGAAAGAGTGTGGACAGGGAAAGATACTTCATACTCTCACTTGAAAGTTTTGGGTGTAAAGCATTCATGCATGTGCCGAAAGAGCAGAGATCAAAGCTTGACAGTAAAGCTACACAGTGTGTGTTTGTAGGATATGGTGATGAAGAATTTGGCTACAGGGTATGGGATCCAGTAAAAAAAATGACAGTCAGAAGCAGAGATGTGGTCTTTCATGAAAAAGAAACCATAGCAGACTTTGAGAAAAATGAGAAGACTACACAGGTTACTGTTGAGTGTGATGTTTCAACACCGACAAAGATTTCACAAGAAAGAGCCACAGATGGTGAAAATGAACAAGAAATAGAACTTGGGGATATGAATGAGCCAGCTACAGTTGGTGATGAGCCAGATGCTATTAGTTTTGAGTAGGGGGAGCAATCCTCTCTACCTGAGAGTGTTGAGCAGGAGGAGCTACCTTCGACATCAAGTGATGTAGAGTCTCAGCCCAGGAGATCTACTAAAGAGCGCATGCCATCTAGCAGGTATCTAAGTTCAGATTTTATTTTAGTTACTAGTGAAGGGGAGCCAGAAAGTTTTCAAAATGTGCTTGACTTATGGAGTTTCACAACCAGTTCTAGAAAGGTTTACTGATGCTGACATGGCAGGTGATCTTGATGGTAGAAAATCTACTTCAGGATATTTGTTCACTTTTGTAGGAGGAGCTGTATCTTGGCAATCTAAGTTGCAGAAGTGTGTTGCTTTGTCAACTACAGAGGCTGAGTATATTGCAACAATCGAAGCATGTAAAGAAATGCTTTGGATGAAACGTTTTCTTCTTGAATTGGGGTTGAATCAGAAAGAGTATGTGGTATTTTATGATAGCCAGAGTGCTTTAGATTTGAGTAAGAATACCATGTACCATGCTAGAACAAAGCACATTGATGTTAGATATCATTGGTTACGTTCAGTGATTGAAGAACAGTAGATGTTATTGAAGAAAGTCCATACTGATAAGAATGTAGCAGATATGTTGACTAAGATATTTTCCAGGGAAAAGCTTGAGCTTTGCAGTAACTTGATCGGAATGAGTTCCCTGGCCAAGGTAAGTTCCAAATGAAACTTCTATGGTGATGAATCTCCTCCTAATGGGGCTGGAGGGGGAGATTGTTAAGAAAATGGGGTCCAGTCCCATGTAAGTGGTTTTGGACCAAGTAAAAGCCATGGGCCTTGATCTTTTATTTTACACAGAGCTCTAGCTACTTAATAAAAAAGAGGTGGGATTGTTTTAGGTGTGTGTCGAAAACCAAACAGAGAAAGAAAAAAAGCCAGGAAAAGTAGAGAGAGAAAAAGGAGAAGAGAGAGTTGGTTGCACGGAAGTCGATCCGTGGTCCGATTGAGTTAGAACCTTGTCAGGAGGTTTATGATTCAGAGTTCTACATTCTGAACGGTGAAGATCGGATTTGAAGCTCTCTAGGAACAAATACTGGGTGTATTTGTTGAGTCACTTATTTGGTGAGATTTCTCCAATTGTTTCTCTAGTTGTTGATTAGCTCTAGTTTTAGCTAGGGAAGAACTTTATATAACTATTATTTGATAGTGAAGATTTTTCTGGTGGCCCGTGATTTTTTCCCTCTACACTGGAGGGTTTTTCACGTAAATCTTGGTGTGCTTTATTTTTCCTGCGTATTTGATTATTGATTGTTGTCTATTGCTTCTGTATTGTTGTGATTATTGCTTCAGGTGCAACAAAGATTGTGCCATGGTCCGCCTCCGATTAGCTTCTTATAAAAGTTAAAAGATGTGACCATTGGAGATTGTAAGCGATTGAAAGTGGTATTTGAAATGGATGTGCTTCTTGAAAAGGAAAAAATTAGTCAGATGCCACTACTCTCAAATCTAACAAGCTTGTATCTATACCTTTTACCAGAATTGGATAGTATTGGAAATTACAATCAACCCATCAATATCATGCAAGCCTCCAAAGTCTAAAGGTTGTAAACATTTGGAACTGCGGTGAATTGAAAGCCATCTTCCCGCCTTGCCTTGCTCAAAGTTTGTTGCATCTACAAGAACTCTCCATACATTTCTGTAATGGATTAGTGCAAATCATTGATTTTCCCCATGAAATGGGTGAGCTTGAGGTACCTATTCTCTTTCCATTTCTCCTTTAATAAATAATGAGAAATCACTAAACTTTTATATATTGATCATATAATTAACTTCTGTTGAAGTTTAAAAGAAATAAAGTTTAATTAAATTATATTAGTAACTAAACTAAATTTATACTTATTACATGGCTTACAAGTTAGTAACTAAGCTAAATTTGTACTGATTACGTGGCTTGAAAGTTGAGAAAGCTAACACTACATACCATGTCATGTCTTAACTATATTATTTGTCACTATTCATGCTTTCTAGGTTCTAGTTATATTCAATTTAATTTGGATTGTTTAAATTTCTACAATAATAAATTTTTAGTGAATTTTCAGCAAAACACCAAAAATTT